GGTTTGCCCAAAGGTTACTTTTCGTGATGAAATGACACTACAAGAATTCACACATTTACCGATCACTTTTGCCGACCAAAAAAATTTTGGTCGCAAAAAAATGACATTTGGCGACCAAATATTAATTAGTCGCGAATGATCATTATTTTTGGCGACCAAATATTATTGGTCGCAGAAGGTTATATTTTGGCGACCAAAAAATGAGTTGGTTGCAGAAAGTGGTATGCTTTTGCCGACCAACTCCAAACTTGGTCGCGGAAGGTCACATATTTTTTGGCGACCAAAAATTTGGTCGCCAAAAACTTATTTTCAGCAACAAAAAAAAATTAGTTGCCAAATTAGTACATTTAGCGACTAATATTTTAGTCACCGTTGATTAAAATTTGGCGACTAAAAAAATTTGTCGGCAAAGATACTTTTTCTGCGACTAATATGGTCTTTGGTCGCAAAAAATTTGGGAGGGAAATTTGAAACGTGGGGGTGGAAATTGAAAGCCGTGGCTCCCAAGATCAAAAAATAAAAAAAATCAAAACCCCGACTCTCAAGATCAATCTATAGCCAATGGTTCTGATCATAAAGGAAGAACAAGCACGCCGTTAGTGGCATGGGTTAGTGAGAGAAGCTCTTCCATTCTTTAGAATTCCTAAAATTACACGGTTTCAATAGCTCATTGATGTCGATGGAGTCTCCACAGTTTATCAAAGGGGTTTCGTCTAGGGCTAAGGATGTAGTTAGGGATTCGAAATCACCAACGTTATTTGGTTTGGGGCAAACTGAATCGGGGTTTGAGCTTAGAGCAAGGGGAATCGAAAATTTCCTCTGACGAGGTTCCTTCGATTAATGTTAATAGACTGACGATGGGGGGGTCAAGGGAGTCTTAGCCCTAGTTCGAGGTCGTTCGATGCTTCTATGGAGGGCCTTCGATCAGAAATTGTTGCGATGGATGCTCTTGGTCCTGATGAGCGAGGTTCAACTAGAGGTAGGGTTTTAAATCGGGGTTCGGATGTGGTAATTTCTCAGTCAAACAGACAGATACTCTCTCTATATAGCTTTTATTGAGTTCTTCTAGGGTTTCATTTTTTTCAACCCGCGAATCAGCTAGGGATCTCTGTGCTCAAGAATCCCTAGTTCTGTTCAGCTTCCATACCATTCCGCCATGGACTCGTCCGATTCAATTCAATTTGATATTTGTGAGATTTATAGACGATATCGTGGTAAGTTACCGATTCTATTTCAACCCATTTAATGTTTTTTTTTAAAATTTTTTATTTTTATTTTTATTTTATTTGTTTGATTTAATTGTTCGGTGACAATCGATGTTTGTTTTGAATTAATGCTCAAGCTTCGGAGCTTATACATGTAATCTTTGATGATGATTGAATAATAAATATTCGAATGCATCTTATCCGAGATTTGCACTTAGTTATTGCCATAGTGAAACAATTCTGTTTTTGGGTTAGTGTGATTGTTGAAAACAAGATACGATTTTGAGCAATAAAGACCATCTATTTAGAAGAAAGGATGTACTGGATTTAAGTAAAACACACTAATGATTTAACAAAACGATTAAGAAGAATGTTGGTTAATATAGGAAAATCAATGGAATTCTTTTTTTTATGATTTAATAAATTTGTACAAATCTAGCCATAGATGGAGATGATTAATGAGAAATGATTTTTGTTGTCAACCCTTGGTAATTGTGATAATAGGCTTTCTTAGATTGAATTGTTTAAGTTGATCAAGAAATTAGTCAAATATTTAGAGCTTGACTGTACATTTAAGAAGTTTGAATGGTGTGCATGTTGTTTCCTTTTATATGTAGGACAAATTCGCATTCATCATTATGTGTAGGGATTGTTTATCCTGAATTGGCTATATTGATGCCTATGACACTTAGTATTCTTTGCCTCAATAAGAATTTATAATTCTATGCAGTGAAATGGGTGCACTAAAGACACTCAATAAATTAATAATATAGCATGTACATGTAGTAGTTTATAAGAAATAATGATGTTTGATGCATAAGTTTTTCTGAACACTGCATCTTACATGATTACTGTGTCACTCAATCAATCCTATTTAGTTTATGTGCACCTGTCGTCCATGGGTATCTCTTTTGATAGATTCAATTTATAGCCGTCTTTTGCAGACATTACATCAGGTGCACATGCTTGTGGGGAGGAAGGCCACAGACCATGTGATGAATCACAGAAAGGCAATTTATCAAGAGAGGCATTGAGTCATCTCTTGAAATTGGTGGAGTCAAGGGTGCATACAAGGTATGTCTGTGCAACATTGTGGAAACATGGAGGCTGATGAAGCTCAAAATTTAAAGTTGGACAGTTTAGGTGTGGTTTGACCAACTCAAGTTTCAAATGAGTTTTACAGGTTCAATTACTTTGGATTCATGATAGTTGATTTGAGTTCTCTGGTTAGGCTTGCAATAATAACTTTGAGATTACTATTTTTGAAAACCATTTAATTTAATTTTTATTTTTTTGCCCCAATGGGAGAGGTTTATTGAAATTAGTGTTGATAAGGTGGTGGATGGGGACAAATATTTGAAGTTTGATGGAATTTTTTGAATATTTATTTTTCTTTTCTTTTTGGCAGTAGGGAAAATTTAGCTTCAGCGTGAAGAAAATTTATAGTTTTTATTTTAAACATACAACTAGCCAGTATTTATTGGGGGGGGGGTTGTATCACATGAAATAAATCATGTAAGATGCAGTGTTCAAAGTAAATAAATCATGTAAGATGCAAGCCTAACCAGAGAACTCAAATCAACTATCATGAATCCAAAGTAATTGAACCTGTAAAACTCATTTGAAACTTGAGTTGGTCAAACCACACCTAAACTGTCCAACTTTAAATTTTGAGCTTCATCAGCCTCCATGTTTCCACAATGTTGCACAGACATACCTTGTATGCACCCTTGACTCCACCAATTTCAAGAGATGACTCAATGCCTCTCTTGATAAATTGCCTTTCTGTGATTCATCACATGGTCTGTGGCCTTCCTCCCCACAAGCATGTGCACCTGATGTAATGTCTGCAAAAGACGGCTATAAATTGAATCTATCAAAAGAGATACCCATGGACGACAGGTGCACATAAACTAAATAGGATTGATTGAGTGACACAGTAATCATGTAAGATGCAGTGTTCAGAAAAACTTATGCATCAAACATCATTATTTCTTATAAACTACTACATGTACATGCTATATTATTAATTTATTGAGTGTCTTTAGTGCACCCATTTCACTGCATAGAATTATAAATTCTTATTGAGCCAAAGAATACTAAGTGTCATAGGCATCAATATAGCCAATTCAGGATAAACATTCTCTACGCATAATGATGAATGCGAATTTGTCCTACATATAAAAGGAAACAACATGCACACCATTCAAACTTCTTAAATGTACAGTCAAGCTCTAAATATTTGACTAATTTCTTGATCAACTTAAACAATTCAATCTAAGAAAGCCTATTATCACAATTACTAAGGGTTGACAACAAAAATCATTTCTCATTAATCATCTCCATATATGGCTAGATTTGTACAAATTTATTAAATCATAAAAAAAAGAATTCCATTGATTTTCCTATAAACAGAACCAACATTCTTCTTAATCGTTTTGTTAAATCATTAGTGTGTTTTACTTAAATCCAATACATCCTTCCTTCTAAATAGATGGTCTTTATTGCTCAAAATCGTATCTTGTTTTCAACAATCACACCGACCCAAAAACAGAATTGTTTCACTATGGCAATAACTAAGTGCAAATCTCGGATAAGATGCATTCGAATATTTATTATTCAATCATCATCAAAGATTACATGTATAAGCTCCGAAGCTTGAGCTTTAATTCAAAACAAACATCGATTGTCACCGAACAATTAAATCAAACAAATAAAATAAAAATAAAAATAAAAAATTTTAAAAAAAAACATTAAATGGGTTGAAATAGAATCGGTAACTTACCACGATATCGTCTATAAATCTCATAAATATCAAATTGAATTGAATCGGACGAGTCCATGGCGGAATGGTATGGAAGCTGAACAGAACTAGGGATTCTTGAGCACAGAGATCCCTAGCTGATTCGCGGGTTGAAAAAAATGAAACCCTAGAAGAACTCAATAAAAGCTATATAGAGAGAGTATCTGTCTGTTTGACTGAGAAATTACCACATCCGAACCCCGATTTAAAACCCTACCTCTAGTTGAACCTCGCTCATCAGGACCAAGAGCATCCATCGCAACAATTTCTGATCGAAGGCCCTCCATAGAAGCAGCGAACGACCTCGAACTAGGGCTAAGACTCCCTTCACCCCCCCATCGTCAGTCTATTAACACTAATCGAAGGAACCTCGTCAGAGGAAATTTTCGATTCCCCTTGCTCTAAGCTCAAACCCCGATTCAGTTTGCCCCAAACCAAATAACGCTGGTGATTTCGAATCCCTAACTACATCCTTAGCCCTAGACGAAACCCCTTTGGTAAACTATGGAGACTCCATCGACATCAATGAGCTATTGAAACCGTAGAATTTTAGGAATTCCAAAGAATGGAAGAGCTTCTCTCACTAACCCATGCCACTAACGGCGTGCTTGTTCTTCCTTTATGATTAGAACCATTGGCTATAGATTGATCTTGAGAGTCGGGGTTTTGATTTTTTTTATTTTTTGATCTTGGGAGCCACGGCTTTCAATTCCCACCTCCACTTTTCAAATTTCCCTCCCAAATTTTTTGCGACCAAAGACCATATTAGTCGCAGAAAAGGTATCTTTACCGACAAATTTTTTTAGTCGCCAAATCTCAATCAACGGCGACTAAAATATTAGTCGCTAAATGTACTAATTTGGCAACTAATTTTTTTTTGTTGCTGAAAATAAGTTTTTGGCGACCAAATTTTTGGTCGCCAAAAAATATGTGACCTTCCGCGACCAAGTTTGGAGTTGGTCGGCAAAAGCATACCACTTTCTGCGACCAACCACTAAAAAAGGTTGAAAAGGTCTGGATTCATATTTGTCTGGAATTTCATTCCCTATTGATAGAATGTTCTTTGCATTTCTTCACTTAACTTTCATGAGTTCCAGTGTGAATAAAATTACTTACTAATGATTACTGCAACCCTGCATTTTTATTAAATTTTCTATGTTTTATACCTAGAGATGAGTCAAATGAGGGCAAGACTCTAAGGTTGAAGCAACAGTATACACTTTGCTCTGCTTCTCTCCAAGATATTATTGCACGATTTGAGATGAGATCTAGTGAACCAGTGAACTGGGATACCTTTCCCAACAAGGTTGCAGTACAAATGAATGATACTCACCCAACACTCTGCATCCCGAAGCTGAAATCTCATATTGATGGACGTGAAAGGTTTGAGCTGGAAGGAAGCTTGGGAGATAACTAAAAGGTACCTTCTCATGGCTGTAGCTTTGATTTGACATTATGTAATAGTATACATGTTAACTTTCTTTGCATTGTTTTACTGAACTCACATGCACCTGTGTTCTAAATCCTTCTTAGACAACATCGAATTGAACTGCCATTTTCCATTGAGTTTTCTTGTGCCCTTCAGTTAGCTTTTACTTGTTCAGTCTGTTAATAGGGGTCTGGGAGGGGTGGACTGTATACAGACCAAACCTCTGACCATTATGTACATAGTGGCTGCCCTCTAATTCGAATCCACAACCTCAAGGTTGTTTGGCTGAATGTTAACCACTCAAGCAGTGGGCTGCCCTTACAGTGTTTGCTTAATATGGTTGTAATTGCATAATTCCCTTAAAATGTTTGTAACCAGTGGGCTGCCCTTGCTGTAAATGGTGTTGCTGAGATTCACAGTGAGATAGTGAAAAGCGAAGTTCTTATGCTTAGCCATATATGTGTAATCTCACCAAATTAGCTTCTACTTCAGATATTTGAATGGATCTTGCAAAACCAAGGTAAAATTCTTTGGTCAAGAAATTGCAACAGGTACTTGAATTGCTTAACCCTTCAATGTTATGGTAACCTTATCGTTTATTTAGGCTTACTATTAGTTGGAATTTTAATAGAGTCAAGATTGATGGAAGGTGTGGTTTTAATTCTTAAGTGAAGCCCATTGTCAAATCTGTACCTTTTGTTTTTTGGGATAGTCATATTGTGAAAGTACAGAAACAACCCTGCCACTTATATCTTGCTGCATGTGACTCTTTCAATACATATATGAGTATGAATAAGGAGCTTTGGTAACCTGAGTCTATTCCATTATGTAGGTTCTGTAATCGTGATAACTTTGAACATAGACATGAAATGGCTTTAGATGCTAATGGGAAGAGACTGCTGGCAACATCTGGTTCAGTGAGAGCACCCATCTATCAGGTAAATCTTGATTTCCCATTACATCTCTCTCTCCTATCTCTAAAATCAATGGTTGTTAGAATCTTGCGATTCACAATTCGATTTATACAATTCGATACGAGTTTTATCCAAAACAATCCGATTTGAGTTGTTGAATCTCAAATTAAGTAAATCATACGATTTCATTGGTGCGGTTACACAACGGCCACATTAGTCAATCGTGACAGAATATCTACGAAGGTAAAGACATATTTTAGTTCCTAATGCATTGTCCCGCAGTCTTGATGGCTGTGCCACTGCCATCCTTCTCACATGGGTTGATACTACAACGAGAGAGGGGTTGCTGGACGCAGTCAAAATTGTTGTGAATTTAGCAATTTGCTTCCTGAATTATTTTATTATTTGAACTACTTCTATCTAAAGCAAGTAATGGAAGGCTAACTTTGCACAAATCCTGATTTTGTGGAACAGGGGTAGTCTATACCGCCTCATCCATAGGGCAGATGCTGGTGAAGTTTACCTTGTTGACGCGTACGACAAAGAGAGATTTGCAGAGGCCAGAAAGGAGTTGGATGCCCTACATAAAAAAGAACAACAATACTCAACCTTGTTAACACCAGATGTTCTTTTTTTTTAAATTGATGCTGATTATGTTAAATTTTTGTTGGAATGAATTGTTTTTTGGTTTTTGGGGTTTAGAATAGGGTTTTGTGAATCGTTCCTTGTTTTTGGAATCAATGTTGCTGCTACTGAGTTATGTGTTGAAACTTGGATATAGAAAATTTTATAATAAAACCTGTTTTGATTATGAATTCGTCCTGTTTTGATTATGAATTCGCTAAATATACAGGTGTATTATTTTCTTGCTTTGGCGACCAATTTATTAGTCGCGGCATCCAAAATAAATTTTTTTCACAAAAAATGATAATTGCCGACCAAGAGTTTTGGTCGCAAAAAATACATCTATTGCCGACCAAAACAGCTCTTGGTCGTGGAAACTCACTTTTGCCGACCAAAAGTTTTGGTCGCGAAAAGTAACAAATGGCGACCAAATTTTTTGATCGTGGAATGTCACAATTGGCGACCAAATTTTTTGGTCGTTGAATGTGATAATTGGCGACCAAACTTTTTGGTCGCGAAATGTGACAATTGGCGACTAAGAAATTTGGTCGGGAAAATATCACTTTCCGCGACCAAAGTGTTTTAGCGACAAAATAAATTAGTCGCGGTTATTAAATATTTAGCGACCAAAAATTTAGTCGGCAAATCCAACTTTTGCCGACCAACGAAAATTTTGGTCGCGAATTACTTTTGCCGACCCTCAATTGGCGACCAAACTAGCGACCAAAAATTTTGGTCGCGAATAACTTTTGCCGACCAAAAATAGACTTTTAGCGACCAATTTTTTTGTTGCTAAAAGTGTTAATTCTTGTAGTGTGAGATCCTCGTTGCCAAAATTGTAAAATAAGGATTTTTTTGTGAATATTGTCGAAATGGAAAGACAATTCAAAATTGGCTCTTGTGCCCAACATATTGGATTACGGAAATCTTTCTCCAAATATGACTTATTTTTATTAGTATGTATTTATGATTTTTAAACTTTTATTCGTGGAGAGAGAGATAAAGACATAATTAGGTTGTGTGATCAAATTAAAATAATTTTTATACGTTAGGAATTAAATTGATACATTTCAAATATTTATAACCAAAATGATACAATATATTACATATTTTGTAATTAAAAGTGTAAGGTTTAGACTTTTCTCATATTCACATCACAATATGAGAGAACTTGACCTCGAGGCCTATCACAAGTTCCGTTTTAATGATCCGAAGTGTTTATTTTGTAGAACTCTCAATGTATATCATCTATGAAAAAAATTAGATTGATCTGATAATTGTAACATTTTCATTTTATTGTTGTGGGGATATATTTTCAGAATACCAACACGTGGCATGGTGACGCCGACGTGTCAGCCGAGGTGCCACGTGCCCTGGTAGTTAAGCCGAGGTAATCCCAGAGAAAGCCGAGGTCATCTCCGAAGATATCGGAATCCGAGATAAGGGGCAAGAATCCTAAGGCAAGGAGGGGACTTAACCAAGATAAGGATAAAGCTCTTAGGGAGTTTATCTTTATCCCTTAAAGAGTCCAAAGTAAACAGTAAATTGGAGTTCATAGAAGTCATACTTCTAGTGGGACTTGGATTGAGTATATTATAAAAGAGAGGCACCCCCGCGGGTCTAAGGTATGTAATTTATACTTTGAGTATTCAGTTTAGTACTTGATTATCTTTAAGAGATATACTGACTTGATCGTCGGAGTGCCCCCGGGTGGAAGAACCATCGCCGGAGCTTTTTCTTTCTGTTTCAGGTTGCTTAAGCCATCTATTCCGCCTGTGCTCTCCAGCTGATCACTAAACGGGCAGTGTGGTCAGATTTTCACCCACACAATTTGGCGCCGTCTGTGGGAACGAAGGAAGAATAGATGGCCAGTAACGGACAGCAGGAAAATATTGGGGAGCGGCAAAGAGAATGATAAAAAAGCATAGAAGGTCAAGGTAAAGCCACAAATTCAAGATACAAATAAATCCAAGACCTCAAACAAGATCAGTAATGGCAACAGACAGACAAAAGTACATAAAGAGAATGGAAGAATTAAAGAAAAGGGTCTTACCAGGACAAATGAAGCCGAGGCAATGCTCGTCAAACCCAGAAACCGGTTGCAACAGCAAAAAAGGCTTTGCGAGAATGAGGGATTAAGAGCAGTTCCAGAAAAGAGATTGAAGCGATGGCAGATTTGAGGAAGAAAAAGCTTTCAGAGAGAGAAAGAACAAGAAGACAGAATGAAAAACTGAAGAAAAAGAAGAGGCAAAAAAGAGTTTTGTCAAAAATTTGAAACGGCGGCAAAAATAGGGCAATTATTGCGCCTAGAGCAATGCACGCGTCAGACGGTGCAGACGAACGAACAGACAGCTTCCAGGCGCGTCACAGACACGCTCCAATGAGAACAAAACACGTGAAAAGGAACGGTTAGATATGCATGACAGCTCATGCGCGTGGGAGAGTACGACCAAAGCCTTGTTCTCCGAAGAGAACACGTCGGCTGAAAGTGGATAATTTTGAGAAACATAATAGATAAATCATAAAATACCATTAAATAGATACATAATCGCATGGTATTCTAAGTGCACTTGATAATTTCACCTATTTCAAACAAGCCTTCTCATTCTTTTAAATGGGATTGAAATGCCTTTTTTAGGGTTTTTTGTTTTTTGGTCAATTACATTCTTTTTCCTCAAAAAATGATCCTCAATATTTAAATTATGTTAATTTAGTTCTCAATGAATAAAAAGTATTTTAATTTAGTCCCCAACCTGACTATGTTTGTAAAAGCCATTAAAGATAGGGATAAATGTGAAAAGTCACTTAAAAATGAATTCCCAAAATATACAATTTATATTACTCTGGTCTCCAATATTTAACTTGTATCAGTTTAGTCTCCAATATAAAAAAAATTGAATTTAATCACAATCTGTCTCTCCGAATGAGGGATAAGAGTGAAAACTATAAATTCACATCAATAAAAAAGGAAAAAAAAAAAAAAAAAAAAAAAAAAAAAAAAAGCCAAAATATTTTGAAAAAAAATTTTGGTCGCGAATAACTTTTGCCGACCAAAAATAGACTTTTAGCGACCAATTTTTTTGTTGCTAAAAGTGTTAATTCTTGTAGTGTGAGATCCTCGTTGCCAAAATTGTAAAATAAGGATTTTTTTGTGAATATTGTCGAAATGGAAAGACAATTCAAAATTGGCTCTTGTGCCCAACAAATTGGATTACGGAAATCTTTCTCCTAAGATGACTTATTTTTTTTAATATGTATTTATGATTTTTAAACTTTTATTCGTGGAGAGAGAGATAAAGACATAATTAGGTTGTGTGATCAAATTAAAATAATTTTTATACGTTAGGAATTAAATTGATACATTTCAAATATTTATAACCAAAATGATACAATATATTACATATTTTGTAATTAAAAGTGTAAGGATTAGACTTTTCTCATATTCACATCACAATATGAGAGAACTTGATCGCGAGGCCTATCACAAGTTCCGTTTTAATGATCCGAAGTGTTTATTTTGTAGAACTCTCAATGTATATCATTTATGAAAAAAATTAGATTGATCTGATAATTGTAACCTTTTCATTTTATTGTGTTTGTCTCTAAAAAAATAGATGGTCTATTTTAAAAAATATATTTGCCTTTCATTTTTTCAGAGACAAATGTGATAAAATGAAAATGTTACGATTATAAGATCGATCTAATTTTTTTCATAGATGATATAAATTGAGGTCTTTACAAAATGAACAGTTCAAATTATTGAAATAAGATATGTGATTAGTCCCACGGACTCTCAAATTCTCTCATATTGAAGATGTAAACATGTGAGAAACTAAACTGAAAGTGTAATCTGTTAAGTGATTTTTCACATTTATCTTTGTGTTTAACCATATCTATGGAGTAAGATTAATGCACCAAGTTAAAATACTTTTCATATATTAAAAATTAAATTGATATAACTTAAATATAAAAAATTAAAATGGTACAAATATTTTGAGATTAAAAATGTAATTAACTCAATTATTTTTTATGCTTCCTTTTGCAACATTTTGTAACACCTGTTTTTTAGTTTTGCAGTTGATTATAGACGTCTTCTTTTTTCTTTTCTTTTCTTTTCTTGTGTGTGTGTGTGTGTTTTTTTTTTTTTTTTTGGGGGGGTGGGTGTTATTTGCAAAGGCATGGTGGTCTCATGACTTTAAAAAATAAAAAAATAAAAAGGAGAAGAGAAGAGAGGGAGTGATTTTAGAGTAATCTTACCGTATCCATCATATGATACTTTGTCATATTATTTTTTAAAAAGTAATAAGAAAGTACTTACATTCTATTTGGTTCACTAAAATAGAATGAAATAGTAATAATATACAAATAAAAAATTTATAAATAATTTTTATAAAAATAAATATTTGATGGAACGATCATTTCATTTTTATTTATTCTAATGAACCAAACAATACCTTAATTCCACCATTTTAACTAATAAAAATTAAATTAAAGTATTACATAAATTTGTCCCAAAATCGTCAAATAAATTTCCAAAGGAGAGACCTATTGTCAAAAGAACTCAAGTGTTTGATATGATATTTTTTTTGTGGTACATTACATCATAGGAGGAGTGTGAACTAGTGTTGTTATTGTACTCTGTCTCTCTCTCTCAGCTCATTCATTGTGTATTGATTTAAACATCTCACTCGTGAGAGATCACTTCCTTAAGCTGATGTTGATGATGATCCGTGAAGATCACATATATCAGCCTCTCAGCCTCAACTTTTTCTTTCTTTCATCTTTGGCTAATTCTTCTGATCCATTAACTTGTGGGTTTTGCTTTTGCCTTTTGTCTGTCTGTTCTTGGTGAACCTCCTTTCCCATCTCACACACATGGAAATAGGAGTCGTTTGAGTTGATCTGAATATTAAGTTCTTAACACTGCGTTTTGTTGAGAGATTTGAAATGAGAAAGGAAAAGAGAAAAGATAGGTGAAATGTGAATAAAATATACCCACATTTCACTTAATTTCACACACATTTTCTTCTTCCTTTTCTAAATCCCTTCCCAAACACAACATAAATTTAGTCTGAAAACTTAATGAAATTCAAAATATATTCAAGTTTAACTTGTTTACATGACTAGTTGATCGATTTTGAACGAAAACGACTTTTTAACGAGTTAAACAATGAGTTGAACTTAATTTTGTATAGATTATTTACCTCTT